AGGGGCCTGGAACATCTGCCCTGTGAGGAGAGGCTGAGGGAGCTGGGCCTGTTCAGCTGGAGAAGAGAAGGCTGAGAGGGGACCTGAGCAGTGTCTAGAAGTACCTCAAGGGAGGCCGTGAGGAGGATGGGGCGGCCTCTTTGCACTGGTGGCCACCGACAACACTAGAGGAAACGGCCCCAAACGGAAGCACCAAAAGTTCCACAGGAACTTCAGGAAAAATCCCTTCCCAGTGAGGGTGCCAGAGCCCTGGAACAGGCTGCCCAGAGAGGTTGTGGAGTCTCCTTCTCTGGAGATCTTCAAACCCGCTTGGCCGCAGCCCTGTGCCACGTGCTCTAGGTGACCCTGCGTGTGCAGGGGGCTGCGCTGGATGATCCCTAGAGCTCCCTTCCAACCCTAAGCATTCCATGATTCCATGATCCGCTCCTGCCTCATTCCCGCGCGCTGACCTCCTCGGCCACCCCTCGCCCGCAGGCTGCGGAGTCCGGGACGGTGCCCAGAGAAGATGCCCCAAGTGCCACGGCTCGGGCATGGAAGTCCGTATCCACCAGCTGGGGCCCAGCATGATCCAGCAGATCCAGACCATGTGCTCCCAGTGCCAGGGCCAGGGCGAGTGGATCCGGCCCCGGGACTGCTGCCTCACCTGCAACGGCCGCAAGGTCGTCCGAGAGAAGAAGATCCTCAGTGTCCACCTGGATAAAGGTGAGACGGGGCCCCGTGGCGCTTGGGGGCTCACAAAGAGATCCGGGCGCTGAGCTCTTCCCGGGCATCCCGCAGGCATGAAGGACGGGCAGAAGATCACGTTCCACGAGGAAGGGGACCAAGTGCCCGGCCTGGAGCCCGGGGACATCGTCATCGTCCTGGATCAGAAGGAACACCCGGTTTTCCGGCGCAGCGGCGACGACCTCATCGTCAAGAGGGAGATCAGCCTGGCGGACGCGCTGTGCGGCTGCCGGCAGGTCATCCGCACGCTGGATAACAGGACCCTGCTCATCGCCTCGCAGCCAGGTGGGACGGGGCTGCCAGGACGCCTGGGCCCCTCGTGTGGGGTGGCGAGGCCTGGGGTTCTGGCACTGAAACTGGGGTTGGGAGGCGATGGGAAGAGCCATCCCGGCACTCCTGACGCTGGAAGCGATTCCATTCTGTGGGGTAGAACCGTGGTGAGCTGATCTCTGGGTTGGACTAGATGATCTTTAGAGGTCCCTTCCAACCCTAAGCATTCTGTGATTCTGTGATCTCCCGGCCCCTGCTCACAGCTGTGGCCTTGCTCGCTGCGTGTGTGTGACTCTTCCTCCCTTTCCAATCCGCACGTGGCCTCCACAGCCTGGGCTGGGTCATGGGCAACGTGTTGGGTTGTGCTTGGATGCCCCATGGAGGCAGCGCCGGGGTGATGCCGGGAGGCCCCGGGCCAGGGCAAGGCCCTGCAGAGGACCATGGTGCTATTGTCCTGTCCCAGGTGATGTCATCCGACCCGGGGACATGAAGTGTGTCCCCAACGAGGGCATGCCCGTCTACAGGAGCCCCTTCCAGAAGGGCAAACTCATCCTGCAATTCCAGGTAAGGGCTGATGCTCGTCAAGCTCCGGCTGCTCCATGTCCCAGCTCCGGCCCTGTGTGCCCATCCCACCTCCATGTCCCTCCTTCCAGA